CATGACTGTGGTAGAAAAGCAACCTGTGGAAACTGTGTCCTACCCTAATCCAAAGGTGAAGGCTACATTGCCCAGGGCTCGAGCCTGCTTGGATACTGATTCTACATAAAAGTCGATGGGATTAGGGAACTTTAATGTATATTCATCAAGGCAATCCTTGTGTTTCTGGGAAGTTACTAATGTGACTTTTGGGGGCAGATTTCATACACCAGCTGCAGTAGATACTCTCCTACTGCTTTGGGCATATTTATAGCTGTCACAGTGTTGTGACAGCATTGTAGCTAGCTACTTCTTGTGCTGAAAGCAGCCTAGATACAACAGCAATGACTGCAATTCAGGCTAAGTCCTAAATATTTATTGGCTTCCTGGGTAGATTTTACAGCCTTCACTGAGCTCCAGGCTTCTGTGGCTAGGCTGCTGTCAGTATGAAAGATAACTAGTTTAGAGATAGCTCAGGTGTGTCTACACTTCATTCATGACACTGACAGCAGCATAAACGCATCATTTAGCATTCCTAGAGTTTGCGTCGCTTGGGGTCAGGTGCCATCTGTCAGCCACATACAAACCAGAAGCTGGTAAAAACAGTATGTGTTTTAAAAGCCAGGCAACTACAAAGCAGCTACCTTCATGCTTCTCAAAGGTAGGCCATTTTTATCCAGAAAGCGGTCTTTGTTTTCTAAGACTGTACTGCAGGAACAAACTTCCTTATCCACTGCCTCTGAAGCATGAGGAAGAGTCTGCCTCAGGCACCAAAAGACAATAAAGTAATTGCAGACGGTGAGATTTGTAGGGAAGAGTCGGGATTTTGCTAGTGGCACAATGGTGGCAGCAGCACTACAGGCTGGGCAGGAGTTTGAAGACCAGTAAAGCAAAAATTATGACTGAACAGTTAAAGTACTTCCTCTGCAACTCTAGCTGTATGACTTGACTTTTCTGTACTTACTCTGTGAAGCTTCCTGGCTCCTTCTTAGTGCACTACTGTTTTAAAATCACTTTGGAATTTGTTATTAGCTGATTTGCAGTAGAAGAGCAAAGCGTTTTGTTGCAGCTGTACATGAACATGGTTAACATGCAGATTACAATCTCTCTCCATCCTTAAGCATGTGGTATGAACAAGTTTGTTCCACTGTGAGAGCTTGGTAGAGTGTGTATAGCTCACTGCCCTGTGCTGTGGGGTCAAATTTAAACTCTCTGTGATTTGCTTCATTTGTTACTGGAACTTGAGATACAGTAATTTGTGGTAGCAACCAAAGTAGCAGTTGTGGATTCCAGTTTTCACTCATTCTGACTGGTACCTTCTTTCTTTTCTTTCTTTCTTTCTTTCTTCATCATGCAGTGTTGAACACTATTTACTCAGCTGTGGCCTGGAGACAGGAAGGAGCAATGTGGTCATGCACCAAAACTGCCCTTGTTTATTCCAAGCAGCTCTTGGCAGACAATATGGTGCATGGGCAAATGTAATTTTCTGCATGGTCTTCACTGACCTTGCTGTAGAGAACAGGAAAACAGTCATCACGGCAAACTGTAGACACCTCCTAAGGTCTGTGGTGATCCCCCTTCCTGTGTAATAGGTACCCAGCTGTAGTCTGAGAAATTGATATGATTTATTGGTCAGGCGCCTGGGTTGTCCACAGGCTGACATGTGTTGCAGCCTAAAAGAGTCTGCCTGCATACTTCAGTGACTAATTTGGTGCTGTTTCTCCAGGCACAAGAAGCAAAAGGGCTCCTTTCTCTGGAGGAGGAATTTATCTGCACGACTTCAGCTTTGTGTGCAGTTCCCATCTAAATAGACCATTTGCTCAAAGATTGAAACCGTAATTAATTCCACTTTTATTGACAATGAACTTCGCTCTCTGATGTGCTGGTTGGAGAGGATCTCTGCCACCCTTTTCCAAAGTCTTTTTGAGCAGACTTCTGCTTTTGCTCTATGTTGTTTCATTGTTTTCTGATGAAGGAGTAAGGATGATGCTGTGACTTGGTATGAAGAGGGAGGAGAAAAAGACAGCATAAATTATTATAAGTTTTACAAGTATGTTATTTCCAGCAAATGGGAGATTTATGCCTCAAAAGTAATGCTTGCTTAGGGCCCGGTTACCCTATCAAGCTGCTTTTGTCTAGCAACCTGACAGGGACTGTGAACAAAGTGCAGCTTTCTCAGGAAACCTCATCCTTCAAAAAAACCTTAAACTCCTTCACCTTCAAGGGGAGAAAAGAGAAGGCTAATGTTCAGAATTAATGAAAAGGGGCTTCGCTGATGAAAGTGGGCAGATTATCCTCCTAGAGCCTGTCTGTTCTGAATGCATGAGGGATGCTTTGTACACTGCTGGACATCACTGTGAAAATCTAAAGGGGATCAAAGCAGAGCAACAGATATGACAGGGCTAGGTAGGGAGGGATGTAGAGAGTAAGATAAACAGATTTAACTTTAAGTATCAGTTAAATAGATTGAATAAGATACAGTATGAAGAAAGGGTTATTATAATGTTCTGTTGACAAATGAAAGGAGAAAATAATGCAGAACTAGAGGTGTAAGGATGCATAAATAGGAATTTGAACTTAAGCAAACAAAAAATGTAAATTGAGTGTTGCATAAAGCTTCTAAATGGTGTGAGTCCTTCAGACCAACATGCAGACTTCTTAGACAAAGATTGGAAGTTTAATGCCCAGCATTATTTAAAGCTAGATTTAGAAAGCCTTGAAGAGTAGTTGTAAGAGGTTCATACTGTCCTTTTAAATGATGAGAAAATGTCTGTTTCAAAAGAGCCTTTTTATGCCAAACTTCTCTGTTTTCCTGTAACCTACTTCCTATGCTAAGCCAGTTGAAGATGACTTTATGAAACTTGCATGTACCCTACATAATCAGATAGTTTTCTTAAGAACTTAGGACCAAAACCTCTATTGCTATAAATGACTGTTGTTCTAACAAAATAACAAAGAAGAATTTCTTTCCTCTATGTAGCATCATGAAAGAGAAATAGTGAGCTGAAAATTCAGTTAAAAATATGCATCTTCCTGCTCATGTTAACTGGGACTTTTTCAATAATACCCATTTGCAGTTATACATAAAAGTTGGTGATACTTTCCTTGATGACATTCAAGGTACTTACTAGCTAATATTGCAGGAGAAAACCCCACCGTTCCAGTGGATGCCATCATTAACCCAAGCTCAGATACACACTAATTGAAGGACCAAGATAGGATCTGCAACATCGAGCAGCTTCTGATTTGTGTTTTAGTAAGAAATTACAATACAAAGAAGTTACAGTGCCCTCCATATTCTCCCCAAACTTCTCTAATTTCAGTGCAGTCACAGAAATTTAATTCAGTTCAGCATTCAAATTTTGGAAGAAGAAAGATTCTGATATATCTAACCACATGGTAAAATAGGTCGCACAAATCCCTGCAATGGTTCTGCACAGGCTGGGACTTCCTTGTGTTATAGGAGATTTCTGACTGCAGAGTTGGCTCTTCCAGACAGAGCAAAATCACCTTTTCATAGCATGACCCTAAACCTAAGGAGCTTCGTTAGATAGAAAGTCCTCCCAAGAGCAGTAATGTATGGCACTCTGGAATGTCTATAATGGATGTCAGAGAGTCTGACAACAATGTCTTTCAGCTGAATTGAAGAGAAAAATAGTAGCTCACTCCTATCTTTCCTCTGCTTCCCTGGCTAATTATGTAGGTAAAGGAAAAGTCTGTCACTCCATTTTGGTGACAGTCCTCCTGCAGTATTTCTTTAGTCAGCATTGAAAATATACATTTGGCTGGGTTGGATGTCACAGTGAAACGTCCCTTTGATACTGCATACCTGCCTGCTGAAGCATCTGACAAAGGCGTAATATTTTCCCTTTCTCTGGCTTTTGTCAAACTGCCAGGCTTTGAGGAGTGGAGGTACAGAGACGTTGTGACTGTCATCTGGGACAAGGTTGATTGCTCCATGCAAATGCATGGGAGCCTAAGGAAGGCTAAGATGTGTCTGTGGCAATAGAGCTCATGCTCTGTACCTCAGTCCTAATGCCTGTGCCCTTTGGATCCCCTCCCTGACTACTGCTTGGCTCTACTTCCACCCCTGGCTCTTTCTTCCATACTTTGCATTCTTCTGTATATAGAAGTAATCAAAATTGCTGCTGTTCAGCTAGTCTTCTCCTTAGCTCCAGTCCACAGCCTTTTGGACTATGAACATACAATCATGTAGGGCTTTCTGACATCAGTATGTTTCCATTCCCTTGGGATCCTATAAACTTCCCTAAGAGTCACCTCTTTTAGACTCCTGCTGCTGAACCACAGAGGCCTTTCTTGACCAGTGTTTCACAAAGCTGCTCTCTAAAACATGAATCATTTGATTGGTTTCTTGTGTTTTTTGGATCTTTGTTCTGTGCTTCCTATAATACAGTGACCAGATCTGTACACATTGTTCCAAGAGGGACCATCCAGCTGCCTTACCAAAAGTAATAACGTCTGTGGTTTATGCTCTGTAACCTTCCATACACAACCCAAAAACCTTGTTTGCCTTTGTTACTGCTGCCAGATGTTCTGTGGATGGTTTTCAGGCGTATTGTGGTGAATGTCACTGTGCCAGTGAATTTCAGCAAATTTAAGCAACTTTGAAATTATTCCTTTTTCCACATGATTATGTTGAAGTCAAACCAGACTGTGTTCTCACTTGAAACTGCCCTGTTTTGGTTACCTCTTTTTCACACTGAATCATTACCTGTTACCAGTTTCTCTGTGGGAGTCTCTCCAACAGCATCTCACCTTTATCAGGGCTCTTTCTGATTGTCTTTGCTGGAAACTCCATCTGAAGAGCCCAGCTGTGAGGATCTAGGGAGCGGTTATATTGTCATTACTGTCATTGACAATTGTTGTTGTCACCCAGTCTACTTGAATTGAGAATATAAAGGAATATAAGGGGGTTTTGCGGGTTTTTTGCTAGGAAGGAAGCAAAAGGAGGGAACAGCCTGTAAAAGAATTACAATGTTCTCAACTCTCTTTTCCTGCAGATTTGCTGACAGCACAGGAATACCACTGCCTGCTGCAGCTGCTCTGCCCTGACTTCCCAATGGAACTCACTCAGAAAGCAGCAAGGTGGGTCCTCATCCTCTCTTTTAAGGCAAGATCAGTCCTATACACAGGGACTTAGGAACTAGATCTGTGGGTAAAGGTCTGGACAGGGACCTTCAGCTTTTAAGATTTTGGGGAAAGGAAATACCATGTTTTGAGGTTAAGAACTGGGTGTTTTTCTAGCAATGAGAAAGGGTGTATATTTAAGGTATACAGAGACTGAAATATCTGTGCAGAATGCTGCTGCTGGCTCTGTGTTCAAAAGATGAGTTGCATATAAAAGAATATTAGCCAATGTGTTTTTAACTGACATGATTTCAAATACTGTTTACCATTTTTAAAATGTGTTCCCCCTCGCCCCAGCTTCCTATGGTTGATCGTGTTTAAAAGGTACTAACCTCTGAAGGATTGCCAGTGTTTTAAAGAATGTTGGTTAAGTACATGGTAGCTAATCTGTTTGAAATTTTATTTTAATCTAGACAAGGCCTAAAGCAGATAGATGGCTCAGGGCACTGATAATGGGATATAGATTTTTTTACTGATAGTGCTTGCTGGTTCCAGTCCAGCCCAGGCAGTTGATTATTAACTATCTGATAGTGAAAATGTAATAAGGTATATGCATCTGTTGGGGTCGGGGGTCAGTTCAGATCTCAGGAGGAGTGCACGTGCACACACACATATATAATATGCTCATTCCTAGCCATCTCAGCAGAGGGGGCATGGAAATTTAACTTTTTTCATGGACCCAGATAACAACATTTGGAAACGGGATCCAAATGTGATCAGGAATTAACAGCTGCCTATGTTGTTCATGGCCTCCATAATGAAAAGGTCCTAATTTTCTATTTGTCATTCTGTTATCTTTCTTTAGCCTTAGAGTCCCATGAAAATTATATTAAGAAAGGCAAGCGAAAAAGACAAGTGTTATCCATCTGCTAGTACTTCCACTTGGCTGATTCTCTGAATTCTTCCCTGGCTCCTATATGCTGCTATCTGAATTGAACTGCAGTTAAAGCTGTGTTGGTTCAATTCAAACTAAAAGTTGAGCACCACTTTTCCCTCTACCTTATCAGTGGGCCTTTGAGGCTGCACAGAGTACAGTTGCTTGGTCCCCAGTGCCAGACTAAGAATGCTAACCCTATGGCAGGGATATAGCTGCTGCCTCCTTTCACAGAGGTACACGAGCACCAGTCCCATGCACTGGTCTGTGTTTCATAGGGTTCCAGTTGAGCCTAGCAAGAATTTGTGATGGTGCATGAAAGGAGACTTCAGCATATCTACACATGTTATGATGTTTGTGTCAAGGAATTTAATCCACAAGGCTGTTGTAAACTAGAGGCCCCATTCAGGGGCCTGCCGCGCTGCTGTGCGTGTGCCGTAGAGACAGACAAGCCAGCTTTGGGAGCAGGTGTTGGAGAGAAATGAGATCTCTGGCAGAGGCACCCAGGCTCAGGTGGGGATGACCTCACTCCTACTTTTGGCTGGCTAGAGATCTACTTACACATTGCTATTATTCCCTTACCAGCTAATCTGAACAATTTTAGTAAAACTTGTCATATTTCTGAACCATCTTTCTCTTCCCTTCCAACTGTTGCTTACCCTCTTGTCCTTTTTCTGGTCTACACTTCCCATTGTCCTCCTTGGTCTCCGCCAGTTAGAGAGGTGAACTCTGAAGTCTGTCTTCCGACACCTGTTGATTTGAATCCTTGCAAAGCATGAATGCAAACCTACTGACATTGTTCCTCCTTCAGTCTACACACCCCCAGTGGTTCTGTTGCTAATTTGCTTGGGAAAGGAATTAAATAAAGTAGCCATGGAAGTGGCCACAGCATTCACTGATACAGCCAGGACCTGTGTAATTATTGGCGCCCCTGGGACGAGAGCAGTCGTCGTCGTAGTCTCAGTGCTGCGTGAGTGAGATGATCTCACAGCGCGGTGCACTCCACTCATCCAGGAGCTGTTGCTATGCACTGATAACAAACAGTGGGAGTAAGATCAGAAAATGTCAGAGCAGAAGAACAGAGGCTACAACAATGTAGGTTTTATTCGCATGACACCAGAGAGCTCCATTTTTCTGTTTCTGGTGCTACACAAGTGCAGAAGTCATTCCCAAAAAAGAACCAGTCTATCTGTGTCTGTGAGATTTCTTGGATTTTTTTTTCTTCAAAGTGTTATAGCTATTAGCAGATTGAAGATTTTAATCTACAGAGATACCTTTGATCTTCAGAGACACCTTTTGGCTTTCTGAATCTTGAAATTGCAGGAGGACAGAAAATGAGGGATTTTTCTGGTTTGATACCATGTACCTGAGTATTGACTTTTCTTTTGTAATAGAAACACAAGGAACTTGTTGCCCACATTTAAGTAGTGAGAGCTGAGTAGTTTACAGGTCCTATGCCGTTTTATGTCATATGGGAGCTTATGTTGCACTGATCAGTGCTAATGGATGTGGGGCTTGCAAGTCTGTACCCCTATTGTTAAAAGATTGCCTGATAGTATGGATCTTGCCCTCTTTGTTTGTTCCGCTTATTTTTGCCTCCATGTATCAGTAAACAAACCAAGTCCCTGAAGGCTCATTTGAGCCAGCCTGCCTTAAGACAGATTGTGTCAGTTAGCCTTTAATGGTAGCAGAGAACAGTAAAAGTCCTTTCAACTTGCCTGGTCTAGAGTTTGTCCTGGGGACATCCTGTCTAGTCTGGGTTTCTGGGATTTTAACCGCAATCAGTAGATCATAAAGTTTCCCCATTGGCACAGTAGCAAGACTTTCGTGCCCGCCAAACCCACTTGAACCCTGAAAGACCACTACACCCTTTACCAGAGTCCCTCAAGTGTAGGCATCTTTCTTCAGTGCTTTCCAAAGTTTCTCCTTGATTTTCATTATTCATTGAGTGCCTAACTTTGTAAATACTTTGTGCCCCTGAGGGCTTAAAGTCTAATTTGGACAAGAAAGAATGAATAAAAAATCCCTTGAAATATCAGCTACCTGATGAATGCCTTTGAGATGCAGTTCAGACTTTCAGATTTTGTGCTCAGTTTTGGTCCTGCTGTCTGGGTTACAGTCCATGGCTAGGCTTCCCTCCTTGCCAGATATTTCAGGAAAGAGATGCAGATATGTTGCCTGTGATGCTCTCCCCGCTTCCCTGACTGCTCAGTCAGCTGGCTGTGTGGGGAAATAGCCAGCTGCAGTCAATCTCCTCATAAATGATTGTATTGGATTTAAAGACTTCTCAACATTTCCGGAGTGCAGACTCCTGGGCCAAGTGGAGTCAGTAACCCAGCACCAGAGTGCACCTGCTTCTATTTAGACTCTCCTCCATCACATATGTGCCGTACAGTCTTCCTTAGAGGCTCCTTGCTGTCTTTAACAGCAAGAAATGTCCAGCAAATTTTCACACCTCTGCCTACTTCCTTGTGCTCTGCTCTGAGTAAGTGACTGGGACTTGGTGCTGCAGAGCACTGCCATTGACCATAGCTTTAGATTTAACAAGTGAAATGAATTGATTGTCATGAAGGTGACAGAGTATTGTCTCTCTGCATAACAAATACATAAAAAGCCCTTTGCGCTGTTGTTCTCCTGCTTCTCCAGGATGGAGAAATGTACTGGCAAAAGCTTCAGAGCTTGTGCTTTGAGAGTATCTGGGAGACAGACCATCATTTCAAAGGAAGGAGTGCAGCTCTTCAGTGATGTGGCCCATCGCGTTTCCAGTGCTTAAAGAGTGGTTGGAAACGCCAGTGGCTGAGCAGTATTGCCTGAGAGATGAAGATGCTCTGCCTGCCAGCTTCAAAGCCATTTCCTTGATGTGGCCACTGACAATCTCAGTAACATGCTTATTAGTGAGAATTAAGAACTGAAGCTACTGCTTCTTTAGACAGCAGGAGGAGGAGGCTTCTGGAACATAATAAATAAATCAGAAGCACTTTGACATCTTCAAAGGGTTTTGTTTTAAATACTGGCTTTTCTCCTGGGGACCCTCTTAGCCCCAGTCTTTCTTCTTTGAGATAATTAATTCAAGCTGCTCTACATGTTTGATTTTGCCACAGTGAACAGAACTGGTCTGAGTGGCAGGGAAGTCTTGCAAGATCCTATAACTCTTCTAGGTCAGCCTCCCACACAGCTCCCTGGAGCCTTTTACATGAGACAGAACAGTGTTTCCCTAGCAGTGTGTTTAGACCATCAATGCTGCAGGAGCTGGTCCACGGATTGCATTTGGCCCTATGTTCAAAAGGGTCTTACAAGGTGACCTGTACTCTGGCTATAATGAACTGCTGATCCTTCTCATATGACATGATATGCCAAATACTGACTGTACAGGGTCAGTAGACCTGCACACACTTGAAAAGAAATACCAAGTACCTTTCTTTAACATTGTCCAAATACTCTGTTTTTTCCCATCAGAGTGTTTCCTTCTGTTTTCCAGTCTGACCTGTCATTGATCAGCCCAAGTTTGATTTTCCTCACTTCACAGACTGACCTTTTAATCCTTATCTAGTGGCATTGACCAGAGCATTGGTTTTGTTTTTATTTTTATGAATGTTTTTGTCTTAACGTACTTCTGAAATCATGAGTTTTCTCCTGAAAGGAGGAGTTGTATAATACTTTGCTACCTCTTATACTTCATCCTTATGGCCTGTGGCTGCTACTTTCCATGTTCATGAAATATGTTTCAAAACAGGGATGCATGTAGCTCTCTACATGCACCTGGGGCTTAGCAGAGAGAAAGAAGACATTGTCCCTGGCCTGAGTAGTCTTCAGTTTCTGTGAAATTTGACCTGATAGTCAAATGAATGATAGACCTGATAGATATGAAAAGAGACCAATTCATTCATCAGGAATGGAGGATAGGATGTTCACACTGTGCAATAAGAAAGCTGATTGTTGGTGCAGTGTTATTTTCTCTGTAGTCAGTGAAGTTTCTCTGAGTATAGATTGGGAATTAAGAACGGTTATCCTTATGAATCTGAAAATATCCCAGTTTGATGAACTCTGGTATACAGAGGAATAGCATGTCTCATTCTTCTCACACCAGTTTAATATTTGTGTAACTGTCTTGTCTGTAGCACAGTTGCCCTTTGTATAGCCATGTGAACCAGCATTTTTATGCCAGTGTTCATTCCATCACATCTACCAGGCTTTGAACAGTTGACATCCATGTCACGTTGCTCTGTTCCCCCTGTAGCTGAAGGGTGTCATAGCATTGACACTGAGGATCTTCTTGCTGCAGGTTCTTAAGATGCCTTCATTTGGTATTAGGGTGTCCACATCCATGCAGCAGTTGGTGTTCCTATTACTCTCATGTAACCTCTTACACTGGGCCAAGCCACTAGCAATCCTCAGTTGCACGTAGCTCCCTCGCAGCACTTTCTCTAGATCTGGGGTTCCTGGTTACAGACTTTAGTTCTTTTGTAGATGCTAAACTGCTTCTCTCATCTTTTCCTAGGATTGTGCTGATGGATGATGCTATGGATTGCCTGATGTCTTTCTCTGATTTCCTTTTTGCTTTCCAGATCCAGTTCTACTACTCAGGTAAATGCTGCGAAGCTGCTGACTTCACCCGCTAGTATAGCATTACAACTTTACAGCTTCCCAATCCCTGCACTTTTTTGTAACTCGTAAGGGTATGTTTTTTTCACAGAAAATATATACATAATGGAATCTACTGAAGAAAGGCATTATTGATGCTAAGAGAGTAGGCTTTGTAAGGAGGTTCCAGATTTTTGTGAATAACAAGATACCTGTAATTGTTATGGCTTATGGATGTATTTGTGTTAGCCTTGAGACTTAAATTTCTGGTTTTATCCAGAACATGTTAGCACCTAACAATTAACTTTTACTAGAAACATTTTATTTCCTTTCCTTAGTACAGCATTTCTGCCTCCAGTATTGGTCCCTGCTGGAGACAGGATAAGAAAAGCCTACCAGCTGGTGCTTTGAAAGGAAAAGGAACTGGATAAATGAATACAGTTCTTCACCCAACTATGAGCTGGTTTCAACTCGGAGAGTTTCTGAACTGGGTAAAGTTTCCATGGATTTAGGAACCCCCCGTAGATTCCTCTCCCAAGAGCTTCTCCAGCCTGCTCTTGAAATCACATAAACTTGTAACCTTCACAGCACCTTTTGGGAAGGCATTGCACGGGTCTGCCACCTGTCCCATGAAGAATCACCTCTCTTGTTTGATTTGAGAGCCCTTAGTTGGGAGGGAAAGTGAGCAGTTAATCCCCATCTACCTTCTTCATATTGTTGGTCATATTCCACCACTTTCCCCCAGTTTGAGTTTTAACTAGAGGGGGTGCTTCTTTTAAAATTCTTGACAGGAAAAGTACAACTCAAATACTGTTTGTTTGTGTGTTTGTATTTACATATGCTCACCCACACATATACATTGTAAAAATCCCCAGGTATTTTTAAACTAAAGTTCAGGAGATATGGGGGAGAAACTTGGATCCATGTTCAGGTGCTTGTTCTGTACAGGAAGTCTGCTTTAAAATATATTGGCCTGATTGTCCTAGCCCTCCTAAAATGTGGCTGAGGGAAGATAATACCATTCAGGGAACTTCTTAAGTGGGCACAAAGAGAGAAGGATTTCCTTTATCAAAGTTAGATATGCTGCCTGGCACTGAGGGCTGCTAGGGTGCCACTTACTCATCTTGCAGGATAAAGCATATTCTAAAGGCAACGGAAGCCCATGGATTTCTGTCCACTCGCACTTAACTAGCTCCCTCTGATGGATGTAGCTCACAAGTGGCCTTGCCCAGGCAAAAGGAGCCAGGTTTGGATACTGAGAGATGCTGGCTAGAAGCTGTGGTGGAGCACAGTCTGTGGTCAGAGAGTAGACTTGGGTGGCCTGCTGTTCTGATCCAACCTGTCAGTTCCCATCTTTCTAGCAGTTAGAAGTCAGCTGCTATCCCTCATACAAAAATCTCTTTTTCTCAGTACTTCTCTGTGTATATACTTTCCCTATAACTCCCCTGTGCATATTGCAACATTACCCATGACAATTCATCAAAGAAAAATAGTTCAGAATGGTGATTTGGGGTTGGGCAGAACCAGGCTTGTAATTTCTTTAGCCAGGGACAGAAAATGTGTTTGGACAGTTTTTCTTCTCTGATATAACAAATATTTCCACTGAGCTGCAGAACCTCAGCACAGCCTCAGGCCCTGGGGACATCCTGCCTTTCCTCTCCACCCGCCTGAAGCGCAGCATTACACTCCCATTCACTCGGGACTTAAAGGCCACTGGAGTCCTCACAAGCCGGCCCTTGTGTACACACACTCAAACATCCCATCCCTGTCCTGTTCACTCAGGCACAATGCACACACGCAGCCTGTCAGATGCTCTCCCACCAACCCACACACATGCAAACCACTCCAAATGGAATCTAGACTTATAAACTGCTGACCACATCCATAAACAAACTTGTTTAAAATTAGACTCTTGCAGTAAACAGTGGGTAGTATGAGGAGCCTGGGGAGAGGCTTTCTGCCAGCTCTAGCCCTGACCTGCCCTGGCCCTTCCTCTAGATCCCGTGTTATATTTACTTTGGAGCAGCACAGAGACAAGCTGGGATACAGCCTGGAGCCCTGACTAACTTTGCTCTCTTTCCTCCTGTTGCAGTTCCATATAGTTTGTTCCCAACTTGGATGAGTTCTTAATCAGTGGCAAGAGATGGAGAAGGGAAAACTTTTTAGACTTTGCAGACTAGTTTTTTGCTTGACATTATCTTTCATGCTCTACTGTTTTATCCATGTTCTAGCTAGCCTCTATTCCTTGAGAAGAATCTTGTTCAACAGAGTGAGTGGCCTCTCATAATCATCCTGACAGGAAGAAGCCAACAACTTATATGGAAATGGCTGCTTGTGCCTGCATAATATCTGATCTGAATGTGAAGGATGCTGTAGTGTTGTGCTTATTTCCTGTTGGTGCTATGTACTACACAGAGCAGGGAATGACAGGTTAATTCCAGGTCTGGTAGGTCAAGAGGATGCTTTGCTGGCTATAGCCCTGAGTTTTAAGTCTCTTCCTGTCTTTTCAGAGTTCCTGGAAAGTGTGGCTGCCATTTATCAAGATCTACTGGCTGGTAAGAATCCAAATACTGTGATTGTGCCAACATCATCCTCTGGACAACATCGGCAGCGCCAGTCCCCAAATGACTGCAGCCCACTTGATGGGGTAGAGGCATCGCTCTTCTACCAGTGCCTAGAGTCCTTGTGTGACAGATCAAAATACAGGTACAAATGGAGTCCAAAACAGATTGGAAGTCTATGTCTCTGGAGATCCTTTGTAAGGTTGGAGCTGTGAAGAAATACAGGACTTTGAACAAGCTGTAACTCCCAAATAGATCTTACTGGAGAAGTATGAAGGAAGAGATCATAGCTGAACTGTTTTAACCAAAGGAAACAATTTCCTGGACCTAAGAAACATGGGATTTGAGCTGATTCTTGAAGTCATGGATTGATTTGTGTCTCTGCTTTCCTTCTTACTTCTGCATTGACACTTTCATCAAGGAGAGGTCTAGCTACCATCATGAGTTAACTAGAGGAAATAAGTGCAGTTGTGTTCATGGGTGTTGAAGCATAGGAAGGGCCCACTGGGGTGGATGGACTTTGAAGCCTAGACAAGATCACACTGCTAGTCTGTCCCCGAGCTGGTGAGGGAGCTAGTCTCCAGGTATGGATCCCAGGCACAAGACTAGCCTTTGTTCAGCAGGGGATGGAGCAACACCAGACCTTATTGTATAGCTTTGACAGACACTTTCTTCATAGTTTCTTGAAGGTAACAAGCACATGTCCTGCTAGAAGATCTTGAGCTAGATCCACAAAAAGACTCGAGACATAAGTTTCACCTGTTCCTGCTTTAGGTGCCTGAATCCAAATTTGCGATCCACAAAATTACTGCTGAATTGCTGTCAGTACTGTCCAGTACTATAAATATCTCAGCATGGAGATGCCAGGTTGTTTTGTTCTTTTAAATAACAAAAGCTCTACATTCCCTGTATGTCCCAAGGGCTTCAGATGGGAAGGATACTCTGGGCCCATCTGGTAGGTCAGGCTCTGCACAGCGCTGTTCGGGGAGCCATTCCCGGCCTTTCATCCAGTAGTTCAATCCTCAGCTAGGGTTTGGTAACCACCTTTGCCTGGGGGGTCACCAGCCCACACCCACATCTCCCTGGGGTGGGGGTGGTGGGGGTGGGTGCCATTACATCATGGGCTGTTCAACACTTCCTCTTTATAAGGCAGTTTTATTTTGCGTGAAATTCTTTAAAGGAGTGTTAGGCAAGAGCAAGAATCCCTGTAGTGATATTTATTGCTTAGAAGTCAGGGCCAGGGGTTAAAGTGAGTGTAGAAGAAAGGGACATGTCAATTCAGTCCCCACCTAAATATTGTTTTCTGACATATTTAGGCTATAATTGGAGAGGTTTTCATGCATCTTGGATGACTATTACTGATAAAAGGGTGATAACAACATAATAACCCTTATGAAAGTTTATTGTCTTCTAAAAGAAAGGATTTCTCAGTTGATTTTTGAAAGAATATGCTAAGAGTTGGGATTTTTATGCCTCTGAGTGAATCTAGGCTTTTCTCTGTGTCCTTGGAATGGAGACAGGTAGGACTGCTCCTAGGGATGTACTGCTGCTCAAACATCATGCTTAGCAAATGGGGGGCAGATGCAATGCTAAATAAGCAAGCTGGTTGCTATTTGTTTTAAACTGAGTGAGGGCAACTTGACAGTGTTAGAACAGGTAAAAGGTAAAATGTCTCCAGTTCGAGCTGGGTCTTGGGGAAAAAAAAATAATTTAAAAGACATGACCTCTTTGTCTCTCTTTTCCTAGCTGTCCACCTTCTGCTCTTGTGAAGGAAATGTTGAGTAGTGCACAGAGACTGACCTTCTATGGATTCCTTATGGCACTTGCAAAGGATCAGGGCATCAACAGAGCCCTAGGTAAGAATTCTGTGAGGGGTACAGCTCTAGATTTTTAGTCATTCTGCACCTCTGTGGAATTCCCTCTGTCATTATGCCCCAGATTTTACACTGTCAGGAAGAGAGTGAGGGAAAGTTTTTCATCTTTTTGTTGATGGATTAAACTTTAAAAACATAACACTGTAGCTTACTGTCTGCTTGAAGCTGTGGAGCTTCTTCAAGGATAAAATTAAATATGAAATGCTGCCCTAAGATTGCAGTGTTTTACTTTTTCAGTAGCTAATCATTTTAGCAGAATTGTCCTTTTAACTATAAAGGTTGGGCAGAGGTGGTCAAAAGACAACTAAGGTGGCTGGCTGTTGTCAACAGTACTGAAGTGAAATCCCATCCTATGTTTTAGCCCTTCATTCTCTCACAGATTTTAAGTGACTGCTCTCATCTACAAGAAAAGGAGGTACACCTAATGGGAAAACCATTGCTGCCTCCTTGGCTTAAAGACTCAGAGGCCAGTCTTTCCCAGCTCTTCCCCATCTTCCCTCAAGGCGGTGTGATCTCAATAATCTGTGGCCTGCTGAAAAATCTGAAAAACGCAAACTGTACTAGACTGCTGTGGGAACCAGAGGAATTACCAAGCAGCATCTCACTGCTTGTTTCCATGTTGTGCTGGTCAGTATTGTTCTAGAGCAAGGAAGCAAAGTGTCGCACTGGCGAAGGACAGTATGTAAACCATACACATTGCAGACTCACAGTTCTGTATTGCCCCCGTATGTCTTGCTTGTGCTCTTCCTCCTCTTGCAAAGGGGAACAGAAGTAGCTTTTTGTTGTTGACAAGGCTGTATCCAGGAGGTGTATATATATGTGTGTGTGTGTAGACCCAAACACTCACCTTCACTCATCTCCACTCAGGCTTTCTCTGTCTTTGGGTAGGTATCCTCTCCCTCTACTTCTAGGCCAGTCACTCTATTACAAAGACAAACCTCAGTGAAAAGGTGTACCTTGCTTGAGGGTTTGTTCTTTTGCACAGGTGTGTGTCAGAGTAAAAGTGTCTCTTCCCTGGCTGAGCCCCTTACAGCAAGCCATTTAAACTGCTAATGCTCCTCTGGGGCATGGCTGCTTACCCAGCAACATGGAGATTATATATCAAAGGTGCAAGAACACAGCCCTGCAATCCCCTCTGCAAACAGGCTTAGGAAGCAGTGTATTCACTGGGGAAGGTGATGCCTGGATTGCAGCAAGCAAAATCTTTTTTTTCCTTTGCCCTACGAAATCTACTTATAGTTGAGTGCAAAGAAAACAGATGAGCAGAAAAAAATTCCTGCCCACAGCTTCCATTGTACCATCTACAAAGTGTGTGGGTTTTCGTTTCCATTAATGTGGGCCCGTCCCCTGGCCCTCTGCCAGCCTTCTGCCGAGGCCTCTCTCAGAGGAGGGGCAGCAGCCACAAGTCTGACAGGTGCTAGTGTCTTGGCAAGCAAAGGAGGATTCTTTCCTGGTGTCTTTTAATCTCTCCTGAAGGGTGATTTCAATAGTCTTTGGTCTGTAGGGGATCACAGGCTCCCCAAAGCCCTTCAGCGAGGGCAGTTTCAGGCAAAGGAACTTTCAGTCAGGATGCCTGCCTTCTCTCTGGTCTCACAAAGCCATTGGCCCCCCTTGAGGAATGGGGGTAGGGATTAGAGCAGCTCGTTCAGGCTGGGGCACCGCTGATGAGTTTGTCAGGCAGACTGGAATCCGCAGCCTAACGCCAGTGTCAGTGCTGATTCGTGAATCCTTTAAGTGCTGTTTACTGACTCTCCCAAGTAATTCTTGTGCCCTAGAGACCTCAATGGGCATTCTGCAAATGCAGAAACAAGTTAAGCTTTAGCTGCTTATTCTTTTAATTGAACCTATGAAAGGGAGCAGGCTGGAGCCCTTCACTGGACCTCTTGACACTGTTGTGGTGCCAGGCTTTCCTGTTCATTTGCAGGAGGGGAAGACTAGAACTGGAAAAAAACGGGGGACTGGGTTCTGGTCTAATTTGGTTCTAATTTGCTATGTTTTTGACGGCTGCTGCCAGCTTGCCTGTTTGAGACAAGTGGCTCTCCAGCAAAGTGCCAGGGCCAGAAACCAGACTTGTGTCCCCACAGGGAGTACAAAGCCCTTCCCAAAAGTACTGAGTGTAGTGCTCAGGTCTCCTGAAAAACAAGAGCATTCTCACTGCACTGGTGGTACGGATTAGCAAGCAATTTTTTGTCCTGGTGTGCAGTGGCACCATCCAGGCTGTGGTAGGCAATTCCTGTCATCGCTGTGCTGGCTGATCACACCCTCCCATGATGCCTGTACAAGGTGGAGTTTGTTACAGAATTAGGAAGGAGGGCTTTCCTAAGAGCCCCATCTTCCTTTCTGGGCTCTTCCTGAGGTGCCAGTGTCCTTTCAGAGAATGGCAAGGATGATCAACCAGCTGTTCCAGTCCTGAACGACACCATGGCCCTCATCCTGAATAGGGTTTAAAGCATGAAAAGGAGCACGCTGACTTTATGCTGAGAGAAGGTACCTAATTACTGGCCCAGTCTTTCTCACTGACAGCCAGCAACACTAGAGCCCAGTCTATCCACACTTACTCCTGTAGACTTAATGTGCACTGGAGTCAGGCCTGACTTTCCTGAATTGCAAGGAAAACAGTAGTCTTACATCTGTGGCGTGTTTTGATCCCCAAGCTCAGTGCACCACAACAAAGGCAGGTGGCACGGAAGGATAACCTCCCTGGATGGTACAGTGCATGCTTCAGGCTGTGGCACAACCAACATTATCTGTTGCTCTGATCAGATCTGGGACTGGTGACTGTATAGGGCAATTAGCAGAGGGAAGAAGTTGACAGACTGTCATCTCCCTGATAGTCAGTACTCAGTAGTTTTGCACAGTGAATGGAAACTGCCAGTCCTTAGGGCTCTTCAAGTTCTCCAAGACATGAGACTACTGAGAGTGCCTCCTGTTTAGTCTGAGCTCAGCTACAGCCTGTGTGAAGGACACAGAATATGGATCATCATTCTTTATCTGTCTATGATCCTCAACATTCAGTGTCTGTTTCTCTAACAGGAAGAGTCTTCTCTGCCTTGAAGGGCAGATTTTGGATGCTGCTATAGCTTGAGCACTTTTCTTTAAAAATGAACAGCCTAATTCTGCTCTGATACTTTCCTTTTGTTTTTCCAGGGGCTTTGCCAGATAAAGGCGACTTGTTTCTGGACCCTGCCATGGATCAGGAGCTTGAGAAATTGTAAGTGGAGTTACCTAAAGTAGGAGGTAATGCAACAGATTAAAGGTAGCATGCTAAGGAAGGCTTTAGTACTGTCCCTATTCCTTTGCTCTACTGCCTGAGCAGAGACAGCCTCTTTCTTTAGGGTGCCTTGGCGCAGCTAACAAAATCCTTAGGAAAGGCTTCAGAAACAGAGGGGAGAAGGGTGCCTCAAAGAGGGATCTAGAGGAAGCAGCAGTCTCTAGTGAGCAGGGAAATTTAGTTTGAATGGTGAAAACTAGGAGTGTTGAAGGACAGAGGCTCAGCTCAGAAGGTCTGCTTTAACAGGAAGAAAGATTCACACAGTGAGCCTGGTAGGTACTAGTGCAAGGTGTTTCCCCCTCTGTGCTGTGAACATCTTTCCATTCTTTTGTTGGTTGTAAGCCCTCCTCCCAGGTTCACTCCAGAACTGCTACAGTAAAGGTTGGAGATGACAAGTTAGGCTGACTAACATTTCTCTTTTCTCTTTCAGGGTAGCTCGGGTTTCAGGGCTTTCCGTCTCCGGTCCTACCAGCTCCAGCGGGGACTCATCTAATGTGCCTGTCCGTAACTCACCCAGGATTAACTCTCCTTGGAAACCTCTACACCATCGTCGAAAAATGGATGCTGAGAGTGAAGGCTCTAACGAAGAGACAGACTCATCTGAAAACTGAAGGTTGTGAGGGTGGGCATTGTTCCCATCTTGGGTTTCTCCAGAACCCACTGGAGGAACAGCACCTCCTCCCAGAGCATCTGCTCTGACCATGGGTTCTGTCCACATCACCAGTGTGCGTGTGGCTGTGCCAGTTCCTGTTGCCAAGCCCACCCATCTCTTCCCAGGAAGAACTCTGCCTTTTTCCTAGCTCCAGTTTCCTGCAGGAATAGCTCCTCTGCAGAAGGTATTTCCAGCTGCAGAGTTATGCTACCCTCTGCTGGCAGGCCAGACCAGCCAGCAGACAATTGCTTGGCCTCCACTTGGAAATAGCTGGGTATTCTCTCACCCAGGCTCTCCCTCACAGTTCAGCAGGTGCTGGAGCAGTGCAGGCCACTTGCCAGTGTTCTGTTGTGTATCTGTGTTCAGACTTGGCCTAGACAATAGAGTGGTTAAATCACTAGTGGCAGCTCTGCACTCATGCTCCACTATAATTATTCCCAGTAAAGCTGCACCTGCATAGGATCAAAGGTAGAGAAATTCCTGAAGTTCCTAGAAATGAAAGGCTTGGGTATTGCCATGCCACTTGTCTCTGCTTCCTCCTCCATGTGTTCAAGACTTACCAAAGCAAATACAGCAAATAAGCCAGACTGCAGTGAGTACATACTGCATGGTGCTGCCTGGCTCCTCTGCTGTACCGAGGAGTTCCCTTCTGTGAGGCCTCCCACAGCATATGAAGGACATTTGGAAAAGGGAGTTTTAAGGGAGGGTTGAAGGAGAGAGGGAAAAAAAAAATAATTCTAAATTCCTTGGCCACAAGTGTTATGTCTTGCAAACATAAGGTGCATCTGCTGGGATTGGGTGGGCAGAAGCACTAAGGGAGAAGGAAGCAGTTATCTGACAAGTCCTGGGTAATTTTTTTGTAAATATTGTCACTGTTGTAGCATCACAGTGTAGCCCTTACAGCTACAAAAAGAAGTAGTATCTCATTGTGTTAATTAGTGGTAACTAGCTCAGCAGTTTGGCCTCCACAGCCCTAAATGCTTTGTCTAGCCCAGCGTCTGTGCCTCAGTTTGTGTTAGACTAGTTATTTCTTGGGGAACCTTATTTTCTCTTGCTCCCTTGGGAGCCTCCTTGCTCCTCCTGTTCATAACCCGCTGCAAGAGCTAGGTAACCCAAAGCTTAGAGCAGCCCTAAGCTGAGTGGACTCAACACACGCTGGAGCTATTTTAAACCTAATCCTGTAACTACTGCTGAGTCTGTACCACAGCCCCACCTGTTGAGGTACCGGGAGGGGTTACTTATTTATTGTAAGTTATTTTATTTATTGATGTGCTCGCTAACTGTGCTTTCTCTCCCAACCATCAGTGTGACAGCCGGCAATAAAGCACACTGCCTAACGCCACTGCTGCCTCTGGGGTCTTCTGGGCTGCCCCAGCCCCTCCCCAGGGTGCTGCTGGGGGCAAGGCCCGAAGGCGGCGGGACCCCCCCACAGCGCCGGGGCCGCTC